CAGACGGTCTGTTCTTTCATGTATTTTTGTTTTTGTTGGTGGCTGGGGGGCAGAGGGTCCCAAATTGACGGAATGTTGAAATGTAGGGCCTACCCATATAATATGTACAATTTCCCTTTTTTTTTTTCTCTAAACAAAAACAAATGTTGAATGATCCCGAGGAAGAGGGTGGTTGGAGTGTGGTGTGGTTTTTGGAATCCTGTCCAGGAGCTGCCTAGTCAAACCTGTCCTGTAGACGTAAGTGCCGAGTCCTCAACGATCCGATAGTATAATGGCGCCACCATTTTAAGATTGCGTTAATATTTTATATTTTTGAAATATTGTTTTAAAAAGTACACTTCCTTCTTTATTCTTTTACTCACATCATCAAGGCACGTTCACATTTTCGAAAGTGTAAAAATATGAAAATTAAATTAAAAACTGAAGGGCTCGCAAGAATGATACAATGCGAGGTATCAAACCCAAAGTTCACAAAGTAGGCTACTGTCAAACCTGTGTAAGACGGAATCGCAAGGGAGCCAGAGAAAATGACGTCTTAGTCTAAGACAGGAGACGGAAGGGGGGGGGGGTGTAAGGCCCAGCTGGTGGGATCATGAAAGATCGCTTGTCCGATCGGCAAGCAGTGGTCAAAACTTCACACCTCTCAGCTGCTATCCTGTCTGATCATGACATGCGTCAGTCTTACTTATCCAATTACCACCAGTGCTTGCCTTTCATAGGACCACTGTTTGACCGATTAAAAACAGAAACCTTTGAACATCTCCTTTCCTTCCTCCCCCCTTAGCCCCACCCACCGGTGTAACAAGCACAGTCAACCAATGCCACCCCTCACTGCCATCATGTAACAACGATTTGAGGAACTCTTCCCGGCTGTCCGTACGATCAGGGCGGCAGGCATTGGTCAGTCTAATTTCACACCTCTGACTTCTGGCGACCCAGGAAAGTTTCCGCAGTGGTTCGCTACTCGAGCACTCTCACTCTCACGGGCAGTCGTGAGATTTCATACCCACACTACCCTGACCATCTGCATCGCTCAGGACTCACATGATGGGGTAACATCTACCCCCAAATTGCACCCCTACTCCCCTTCCTCGCCCAGCGGCATGGTCATGGCGTTAGTTTAGAGCCAAGCGGAACCAAACTTGCGAGTTAAGTTTCAAATCAGGGCTGAGCGGGCAAAGCATTTACCGTCTTAGACAGGTGAAACCCTCGGAAGGGAGCGGATTTGTCTTTCCGTTTCAGCGTTGGACAGGTTTCTGCTAAGAAGACAGGTTTCCGTTTTCTACAGGTAATTTAAGAGGAAATATATCAAGGGGGGAGTGGGGAGATCCGTGGCAGGTTCCTTGATGGGAGTAAAAGAATAAATAAATAAGACAGAAGTGAATTTTTTTTTGGAAAGATAGATCTAAATATTGGATACGAGTCCATTCCACCAATGTGGATGTGCCTCAATACTACACACGCAAAAACACCATTTGACGTTTCTCTGATTTCGCACAATTTTGCCAAGCCTGATTTTTAAGGGCCAAGATTTTGAGAGACCAAATTTTAGGCATCTATTAACATAGATGAAATATATTAATGTGTCAGATGATGTAGAATTTATTTAGCTTTGAATTGGTATGCTGCATGAGTGGGTGGTAAGAGGCTAGATCTAGATCTAAATTACGATGATTGGGTGATTACATTTTCAAGTTCCATTTGGATGCCACTATATACAGTCAAACTTGGTTATACCGCCTATCTTGGGACGAGCATAAAGTTGGTGGTACAGTGAGGTAGGCTGTATGGTGGGGCCGGCGGTAGAACGGGATACCACCTACCGCCGCCTTGACCCGTGGCACTAGTGGTAGACTGGTACTTTGGTGTAGACCTCCTGTCTAGTGGTAGACTGGTACTTTGATAGACCTGTCTAGTGGTAGACTGGTACTTTGGTTGAGATCTACTGCTGCCCAGTCGTGCCTTACACAATTGCCGTGCGCAGGGAACATAAAGTAGCGACCAATTAGGCCGAGATAGATAGATGTGCAGCTCTAGATCAACTTGAACAGAAAAATTCCTATTGACGGGGGCATGCTGTGTGTGTGTGTGTGTGTCAGAGAGAGGCTAGGCTTTGTGTGTCAAGGACCCTATATAGATTTACTTTTTTTATTTGTTTAATTTGAAACCTGATAAAGGGGCTCTGGTGGTATAGAGGTTAAGGTGTTGGCCTCTCATTCAATTCATTCAATAGGTCCTGGGTTCGAATTCGGACACTGAAAGAAAATGTTCTTTCTTCACATCCTTTCCTGCTCTCTTACACTACACTCTCTACCAACAACATCCTTTCCTGCTCTCTTACACTCTTTACCAACAACATTCATTCGTCTGCTTTCGTTTCATCTTCATCGACGTAAATCTGACCCTGCTTCCTAAAAGCTAACAATAAAACATGTATCAATGTTTATATTCGTTGTAAGTTTATTGGATGATAAATTCATCTATTTATGCTCCTTTTTACAACGTTCAGGGAAAATAAATAAAGAGGTTATAGAATCATTATGATAATGTGTCTGAGCAAAAATTACTTAGCAGCTGAAGCACAGGGTGGTTGCAGTTGAAGCACAGAAATTGAGACCCTCTCTCAGATTTGGCCCATACAGCAAATAACATTGCTAGCAGAAATGGGAAAGGGAAAAAGTAAAAAAATATTTGTTACCCAGCAGGTAGAAGTCAAGAAATACCATCACCACCAGCCAACCACCCGTGACCACCAGTGAACGAACCACCAGTGAACGAACCACTGTTAGAAAAAAAGAAAACTGAGATGTCCGTGATACCATTTGATCAAAAGAAGAAAAGTTTGGAGGATTTCCAATCCATAAATTAGCATCAAATCTACCACGCATAATTAGGCTTCCCCTAATCTGCATTATCATATTTATATGCAACGAATGGACAAACATGTTGTTGTTGCTATATATATATATAGTTGGACAAACATGTTGTTGTTGCTATATATACAGTAGTCTCCGCCTAAGATCCCACCGCTTACGATCCCGGTTCGCTTAAGATCCCGCTGTTTGAAGAAAACAGAATTTTTACTATAC